GGCTGATAGCGGGCAAGGCTCTTGCCGCTGGGCAGAGCGACGACGGGCGAGCGAGGCGCTGGGCAGAACGCAGTACGGAGCCCCCGCGACGCGCGCAGGTCGCCCCGGAGGGGTCCCAGCGACGCGCGCGGGTCGTCCACTGCGCGGAGCAAAGAGAGCTAGCTGGCTGGCTGATAGCGGGCAAGGCTCTTGCCGCTGGGCAGAGCGACGACGGGCGAGCGAGGCGCTGGGCAGAACGCAGTACGGAGCCCCCGCGACGCGCGCAGGTCGCCCCGGAGGGGTCCCAGCGACGCGCGCGGGTCGTCCACTGCGCGGAGCAAAGAGAGCTAGCTGGCTGGCTGATAGCGGGCAAGGCTCTTGCCGCTGGGCAGAGCGACGACGGGCGAGCGAGGCGCTGGGCAGAACGCAGTACGGAGCCCCCGCGACGCGCGCAGGTCGCCCCGGAGGGGTCCCAGCGACGCGCGCGGGTCGTCCGCTGCGCGGAGCAAAGAAAGCGAGCTGGCTGGCTGGGACCTGCGGTGGGGCTCCATATGGGGCCACGTAGCGCTGTACTGGGCAAGGGAGACGCATGCGGACTGCGCCACGGGGACCTTCGGTGGAGTTCCCTATGGGGCCACGAAACGTGTGAGGGGTGTGCCGAAATGAGTGGCGGGGACGCATGCGGACCGTGCCACTGGGACCTTCGAGGGAGCTCCTGTGGGGTCACGAAACGCGTGAGGGGTGTGCCGAAATGAATGGCGGAACGCATGCGGACTGCGCCACGGGGACCGTCGGTGGAGTTCCTATGGGGCCACGAAACGTGTGAGGGGTGTGCCGAAATGAGCGGCGGGAGCGCATGCGGACTGTACCACTGGGACCTTCGGCGGAGCTCCTGTGGGGCCACGAAACGTGTGAGGGGTGTGCCGACATGAATGGCGGGAACGCATGCGGACTGGGCCACGGGGACCTTCGGCGGAGCTCCTATGGGGCCACGAAACGTGTGAGGGGTGTGCTGAAATGAATGGCGGGGGCGCATGCGGACTGTGCCACCGAGACCTTCGGCGGAGCTCCTATGGGGCCACGAAGCGTGTGAGGGGTGTGCCGACATGAATGGCGGAGACGCATGCGGACTGTGCCACTGGCCTTTCCTTGGGGCCACGAAACGCGTGTGACCGTGCCAGTGTGTGGGGCCACGACATGCGGGTGTGACCTTCGGCGGAGATGGGGCCACGAAGCGTGTGAGGGGTGTGCCGACATGAATGGCGGAGACGCATGCGGACTGTGCCACTGGGACCTTCGGCAGAGCTCCTTGGGGCCACGAAACGTGTGAGGGGTGTGCCGACATGAGCGGCGGGGACGCATGCGGACCGTGCCAGTGGGAGCTCCTGTGGGGCCACGAAACGTGTGAGGGGTGTGCCGACATGAGTGGCGGGGACGTATGCGGACTGTTCCACTGGAACTTTCGGCGGAGACCTTATGGGGCCACGAAGCGTGTGAGGGGTGGGCCGAAATGAATGGCGGGGGCGCATGCGGACCGTGCCAGTGGGAGCTCCTGTGGGGCCACGAAACGTGTGAGGGGTGTGCCGACATGAATGGCGGGGACGCATGCGGACTGTTCCACTGGAACTTTCGGCGGAGCCCTTATGGGGCCACGAAGCGTGTGAGGGGTGGGCCGAAATGAATGGCGGGGGCGCATGCGGACTGTGCCACTGGGACCTTCGGCGGAGCTCCTATGGGGCCACGAAGCGTGTGAGAGGTGGGCCGAAATGGGTGTGCGGGACGCATGCGGGCACACCCACTGGGACCTTCGGTGGAGCTCCCTATGGGGCCACAAAACGTATGAAGGGTGTACCGAAATGGGTGTGCGGGACACATGCGCACACACCCACTGAGACCTTCGGTGGCGCTCCCTATGGGGCCACGAAGCGTGTGACGGGTGTGCTGAAATGGGTGTGCGGGACGCATGCGGGCACACCCACTGGGACCTTCGGTGGAGCTCCCTATGGGGCAACAAAACGTATGAAGGGTGTGCCGAAATGGGTGTGCGGGACGCATGCGGGCACACCCACTGGGACCTTCGGTGGAGCGTGTGAGGGGTGTGCCGAAATGGGTGTGCGGGACGCATGCGGGCACACCCATTGGGACCTTCGGTGGAGCTCCCTATGGGGCCACGAAGCGTGTGAGGGGTGTGCCGAAATGGGTGTGCGGACGCATGCGGCACACCCAGTGGGACCTTCGGTTGGGCTCCCTATGGGGCCGCGGAACGTGTGAGGGATGTGCCGAAATGGGTGTGCGGGACGCATGCGGGCACACCCATTGGGACCTTCGGTGGAGCCCCCTTATGGGGCCACGAAACGTGTGAAGGGTGTACCGAAATGGGTGTGCGGGACGCATGCGGGCACACCCACTGGGACCTTCGGTGGAGCTCCCTATGGGGCCACGAAACGTGTGACGGGTGTGCCGAAATGGGTGTGCGGGACGCATGCGGGCACACCCACTGGGACCTTCGGTGGAGCTCCCTATGGGGCCACGAAGCGTGTGAGGGGTGTGCCGAAATGGGTGATGACGATGATGATGGTGGGGGGAGGGAGGAGGAAGGAGGGGGAGGAGGAGGAGAGGAGGAGAGGAGGAGGAGGAGGAGGTGAGGAACGCGGGGCGCCGTCTCTTCAAAACGAGGACCCAACACCACAGGATGGTTGGGAAAAAACAAGAGCTTGACGGATTGAGGATCACCCGTTTTCAAAATGTGGTTTTCGCCTTAGCCCGGGGCACATTCGTTATACAAAACTACAAGTGTTCCACGGATTGAGGGCGGTTCCTTTTCAACATGCGGCTCTCGCCTTGGCCCCGTGCACATTCGTTTTAAACATTTGCCAGGGTTCACTGATCCCCGCGACCAGCGACCAGAAATAGTGTTTTGGAAGGGTTCCGGATTTAGCGGGCGCAACAGTTACGTTGATTCGCGAAGTTGAAATCCAAGGAATGGCGTTCTGACACGATCAAGAATCGGCAAGACTCAACAGTCATGTTCATCCGTGGCGTTGGAATCCCGAGGACAATGTTTTGGCATGCTTCCGGGTTTTCAAACGGTTGTCTTCCAATGGGGCAGATCCCTCAATGGAAATGAACCGTTGTAGGGGCCTATGGAGAGAGAGCTTGGCGGGAGGCTGTATTCCAACATCATTGATGGCCATTGGGTTTACACTGGTCTTCCTCCTCCTCCTCCTCCTCCTCCTCTTCCTCCTCCTCGTCCTCCTCCTCCTCCTCCTCCGCCTTCTGCTCCTTCGAGCTTCGAGCTGCCGGCAGGCCTGTCGCGGGCAACGGATGCCCTCGCGCTCCCTCCGCCCTGGCCCACGACCAGGGGATGCCAGGGGAAGAGAAAACCAGACGGCAAGTGGAGAAAGGAGCAGCCTTTTCCGCCTTCCCCTCTGCTGTATTCCCTCCCCCCCCCCTGGCCGAGGATCGCCGAATGGCTCCCCACCCCCCCGCGCCTCGGAGGGGCCCCCTGCCCCTGGGGTCAGGTGCAGGTCCGTTGCCTGGCCACTCCGCTCCCGTCCTCCTCCGCTCTTTTTCTATATAAATAGCTTTTCCCTGTCGCACCCCGAGGCAAGTTTTGAAGGCGGGCCGGGCATTCCGCCTGATACTTCCTCACCATTTATGATTCTGAAGCATAGAAGTTTCAGCAGTTTCACAAATGGAGGGCGGGTCGTCTTCAAAATGTGGCTCTCGCCTGAACGCCGCGCACACTCGTTTGAAACAGTGTAAGAGTTTCACGGGTTGTGGGCGGGTCGGTTTCAAAATGCAGCTCTCGCCTTAGCGCCGCGCGCACTCGTGTAAAACACTGCGAGGGCTTCAAGGATTGAGGGCGAGTGGTTTTCAAAATGCAGCTCTCGCTTTAGCGCTGCGCGCATTCAATTCTTAAAATTCTGCAACAGTTTCAAGGATTAAAGGCGGGTGGTTTTCAAAATGTGGTTCTCGCCCGAGCGCCGCGCACATTTGTTTTGGAAAAGTTGCAAGAGCTTCATGGATTGAGGGCGGCTCCTTTTCAAAATGTGGCTCTCGCCTTTGCGCCGCGCACAGTCGTCCCTACATATTGCAAGTGTTTCGCGGCTTCCCACGATCAGCGTGCCAGAAATGGTGTGTTGGATGGATTCAGGATTACGCAGGTGTAACAGTTACGCTGATTTCCTGTCTTGATTGAAATCCTAGGAATGGCCTCTCTGGCGCGATTCAGGATCGTGAAGACGCAACGGTCAGGTTGAGCCGTGGCGTTGGAATCCCGAGAACGATGTCTGGGCATTCTTCAGGGTCTTCAAACGGATGTCTCCCAACGAGGCAGTTCCATCAATGGCAATGAACGGTTGTAGGGGCCAATGAAGACGGAGCTTGGAGGGAGGGTTTACTCCAACATCGTTGATGACTCTTGGGTTTACACTGGTCCTCCTCCTCCTCCTCCTCCTCCTCCTCCTCCTCCTCCTCCTCCTCCTCCTTCTGCTCCTTCGAATCCGCCTCCTTCCTCCTCTCTCCTTCCTCCTCCTCTTTTCTCATTCGTCCGTTTTCCTTCGTCCTTCCTCCTCCTTCTGCTCCTCCTCCTCCTCCTGCGAATCCGCCTCCTTCCCGCGCTCAAATTGCGGTTTGCAACTTTTCGGTGCTCAAACTGCTGGTTGCAGCGCTTCCGTGCTCAAAATGCTGTTTGCAGCGCTTCGGTGCTCAAATTGCTCTTCGTAGCGTGCCGACAGCAGCTACAGGGCCGAACTCGGCCCTGAAAGGCCCGAAACGGCCGCCCGCGGCACGCGGGACGCGAATTCTGCAGGTCGGAGCCCTCCCTTCTCATTCCTCCTTTCTCCTTCTTCCCTCCTCCTCCTTCTTCCTTCCTCCTCCTCCTCCTCCTCCTCCTCCTCCTCCTCCTCCTCCTCCAACGGCCCCGCCGCGGCCAGCTGCCACCGCCGCCACCGCGGCTGCTGCGGCCGCTGCGCCCCCGTGCGGTGGCGGCCGGGTGCCCCTGCACCCCCGGGGGCGACCAGTTCAGGATCCTCATCAACAGCAGCCGGATGGTCAGCCCGTGGGTGACCTGTCGACCCCCAGGCGCGAAGAGCCCAGGCCACCAAGCTGCGCGCATCGCGCCCCGCGATGCGAGACGCTCGGTCGCCTTCGCGCCCTCGAGCCGCCCCCCTGGAGGGCAGCCGCTCTGGTCCAGAACGCGACGCGCGCAGCGCGATGATCTCCTCGGCCCCGCGGCAGCAGCCGGACAGTCGGCCCGTGGGCGACGTTTTCTTCCGGAAGAAGCGAGCAGGAGAGAGCGCCCCCATCCGACAGCCGACACGACGTGAGAGTGAAACGCGGAGGAGTCGTGTGAGAATGTGGCCTCGGGTGCGCCACGAGCGCGCGCCACTGCACGTGCGTCGACCCCGAAGTCTGAAGGGGCCCTGGGACACACAAATTAATAGACAGCAATAACTGGAGTCCCCGTATTTTCCCATATTTCCTGGGTTCTCTGTCTTCCCGCCACTTCCCATATTTTCCAATATTTTCTCAGGAATCGACGATGAATTGTGTCTGTGTGTTTTTTCCCTCCTGAAAGTCGTCAGCCCGTGGATGACCTGTCGACCCCCTGGCTGCAGGAGGATCGAGGCGCGAGGACCCACGCCGCTCTTGGACGCTCCGCCGTTCAGGACGCCAGGGATGAAAGGGGCCCAAGGACACACAAATGAATAGACACAAATAACAGGATTCCCCCCATTTTCCCTTATTTTCTGGGCTTGTGTCTCCCCTCCACTTCCTCTCTTCTCCCAGATGTTCCTGGGAGTCGATGATTACTTGTGTCTGTGTGTTTTTGTCCCTCCTGAAGGGACGCGTCCCGAGTCCCGAGCCCTCCCCTCGGGCGCGGCAGGGTCCGCAGCTCCGCGGCCAGGGAGGCGCTCGGCCCGTCCGAGAGCTCGCGAGGCACCGGGCCAGAGGGCCGGGCGGGGGCGTCGGGATCGCCTGTGCCCTCTTTCCATCGTTCCTCGCTGTTCTGACTGCGCAGGGTACGATGGGGTTCTGTTGGTGTTCCAGGTCTGCCATGAAACCTGTCGGTGGATAGAAACAAATGAGCGCATTGCGACGGGATGTACCAGAGGGGTGGAATGTCAGAGACGGCGCGAGCGCACCGAGCTTGCATCCTCTCGGCATTCTCTCCTATCCTAGGCGTCCCCTTGGCACCACCACATCCTTCGCCGTTTTGTCTGTCGTCGAACTCTGTTTTTGGAGGCGGCTGGGGGGTTGAACTGGTTAGAATCCTAGAGAGATCGGTCAGGAAGGGGGGGGGATGATGCTAAATCCGCTCATAATAAATTCCCGGGCCCCTCCTGGGCGGGGTCCATCTGTCGCAGGTTTTCACCCCAGATCCATTCCTGACGGTCCTGGGGCTCAAAGACAGCCCCTGGGAACTGAAAAAGTCAAACAACCTTCCCGAATACAAAAACCTCGAACCTGCCCGCCCTTCCTGCTGGCTGGAACCAGTGCTGGGCCACCTCAGACCTCTTGTCGACTCCAGCTCTGTCCGACCTTCAGCCCGACGCGCGCAGCGTGCAACAAAGTGGGTGGACTTTTCTGCTGTGCTGGTCGGCGTTTTAGACGCCCCCTCGCTCAATTTGATCTGTGGACCGACGCGTGCAACGTGCTACAAAGCGGCTGATCTTTTCTGCTGGGTTTGGTTGGCCTTCCTGGACGGCCGTGCGCGCAGGCCTGGTGGAGCCCCTCCGCCCGGGGACGCCTTGACAGGCGTGCCAGAGAGAAGCTCGACCCTCGCCGCGAGGGTCGAGGATCCTCGGACTCCTCCCCACTTCTCCCCATCTATCCGATCCGTCCCTCTTTCCTCCTTCTCCTCTCTCCTTCTTCTCCCCTCTCCTCTCTCCTCTCTCCTCATCCTCTTCTTCTTCTTCCTCCTCCTCCTCCTCCTCCTCCTATTCCTTCCTCCTCCTCCTCCTCCTTCCTCCTCTTCCTCCTTCATCTTCCTCCTATTATTCCTCCTCCTCCTCCTATTCCTCCTCCGCCTCATCATCATCAGCATCATCATAATCGTCGCCATCCCCCTTCTCATCATCATCACCATCATCGTCATCATCATCATCATCAACATCATCATCATCACGATCATCAACATCGTCATCAACAGCATCATCAGCATCAGCATCATCATCGTCATCATCATCATCATCATCATCATCTTCATCATCACCATCATGGTCATCATCATCTTCATCATCATCAGCATCATCAGCATCATCAGCATCAGCATCATCAGCATCATCATCATCATCGTCACCACCATCAGCATCATCATTATCAGCATCATCCCTCTATCTCCCCTCCACCCCGTCCCTACCTCCCCCAAGCGCATCCCTTCTCCCCTCCCTCCCTCCCTCCCTGACCTCCCTCCCTCCCTCCCTCCCTGCTTCTGCTTCCTCGTGCTCGCGAGGTCCTCCAGGCCTCGGACCTGCCGCCATCACACCATGCACAAACACAAACTGATGACTAAGCACAGCCGAGAACAGGCAGCAGAAAGCATCCACCGTGGCAAACAAAAGACTGAAGCAACGGATCCCGCCCATTGAGCCAGTGGGACGATGGCGTCCAGGAGGGGGGGGGGGAGGACCCTTGGCCCTCGAGGAGGGCCCGCCCTGCCCTGGACAACGAGAGGGCCACGAGGGGGACGGAGAGGAGCGGCACGAGGGGATCCCCCCCCGCACGCATGATAATCTGCAGTCTGCCACACCGAAGCCCAAGGGGGGGGGGGGGGGGGGGGGGTCTCCTGCCGCGTGCCCCGCGGCAGGCCTGGACCCCTCGGCAGCCCCCCCCCCCCCCCCGCACGCCCACCCGCGCGGTGGGGGGCGGCGGTGGCCAGCGGCGCGAGAAGGGACGGGGACCTGCCGCTGGGCGGCACGCAGGGAGGGGCCCACCAGGCAGGCGTGGCCTCGGGCGCGCGGCCTCCCGGGGGGCGCCAGCGCCAGGCGCGCAGGCCGGGGCTGCCCCCCCCCCCCCCCTGCCCTGACCTTCCAGGAGGGCCCAAAAGTAGCACCAGGACCTCGACATCTCATGTCCTGTCGAGGTTTTAGGCAGCCCAGATAGGTCTACAGGTCTGGAGGGCTATTTTTTTAAGCAGTCTGGAAGGTCGGGGTTTCTGGGCCCGCGCAAGAGGGCACTCCGGCGAGGGGCCGCTCCTCTGCTGCGCGCACCCCCGCTCAGGAGGTGAGAGCATTGCAAGCCAAAGGGGCGGCCTTCCCTGCAGGCGTGCTCTCAGACAGCCGCCCCGGCCCAGGCACGCGAGCGTCCCACGGACAGACGAGCTCCAGGAGAGCGCCCAGGGCCCAACCCAGATTCTCGACTGTCGCAAACGACATCAGGGGTCCACGCGATAACTGGAGGCTTCTTCTCAAGAGTTCCGATGGGTGTGCGCGTATCCGATGCCGGGCAGGCGCGCGCGCTTGCTGCACGGCTCGGCCGGCGAGCCCTCTCCAGGAGGTGCGCCCTGCGGGCTCGGCCTCTCGGGCGGGCGCGCGCGCCGTGCGGGCGGCGCCCAGTCCTCGTGCTCCCCGGGTTCGCCAGGCCAGCGTCGGCAGGGGGGGGGCAACGGGGCGAAGGCCAGGGAGAGACAGAGAGGCAGAGAGACAGACGGACGGACGGACGGACGGACGGACAGACTCTCTCTCGGGCTCCCACGTCGCCGGGGCGCCCCCCAGCCACGCCTCGAGGGCGTGCCCCAGCCGCGCCTGGGGGACGAGGGCCATGACGCGGAACACAGACAGAGGGAGCGACAGACGGACAGAGGGGCAGACCGAGAGACGGACAGAGTGACAGGACAGGCAGACAGGCAGACCGACCGAGAGGCAGCGAGACAGAGAGACAGAGAGGCAGGCCGGCAGGCAGGCAGGCAGGCCGAGCTCGGATGTAGAGGCAGAGACGGAGTACTCCCCAGTGGGCAGCCGCCCACCACGAGGCACGTGCCGTAGTCAACGCCGCGCCCCAGCAGCAACGCGTCGTTGCCTCTGGCCGCGTCCACGTGGGGGGGGGGGGGGGGACCAACGAGGGAGGAAGAAGGCCGCTGGAGGGAGAGCGAGGGGGGCGGAGCACGAGGAGGAAGAAGTGAGAACGAGGGAGGGGGGACGAGGAGGAGGAGCGAGGGAGAGGAGGAAGAAGCACGGCGGCGGACACCGACGTAGCCGCTGGAGGGAGGACGAGGGAGGGAGGACGAGGCGGGCCGCAGAGGGGCATACCGGTACCACACGCCCCCCTCTGGAAGCGCACGCCCGAGGCGAGCCTGCAGCTGAGGCAGCAGGCAGCACGTCGCCGCCCGGGCGGAGTAGCCAGGGAGACCCCCCGCCGCCGAGCACACACCAAGACTTCTGAGCGCGCGCGTCGCCCATTGGGAGGGCTGCCACACACACACACACAAAGCACACACACACAAAAAGCACACACATACACACAAAGCACACACATACACACACAAAGCACACACACAAAGCACACCCACACCCACACACACACACAAAGCACACACACAAAGCACATACATGCACACACACAAAGCACACACACACAAAGAACACACACCTACACACACACACACGCACACACAAAGCACAGGTGCGTTTGGACGGTGCCGACGAGGAGAGAACGATGGCAGAGCGCGGGAGGCAAGGTGGAAGAACGCCAGAGGACGCTGACATGGACGCCAGGTCGGGCTCTCATGTGGCAGTAAGGCGGCAAGCCGGCCTGCGGCTGCTGGGAAGCCAATATGCTGCTAGTCTGGCCACGGGGTGGAGGTGACGTGCCACGCACGGAGCTCGGCGTCGTCTGCACGCTTCCCGAGCGACGTCGCGATGGGCTCGGGAGAGGGAGGAGGGAGGAAGAAGGCCTGGGCTTCGCTTACCAGGGAAGCATTTCAAGTCAGTCTCGAAGAAACATGCACCTTCCCTGCGCCTTCCTTCGGGGCCTCAGCGAAGGTGCACGCAAGGTGCACCTTCCTTCGCCCCCCCCTGTCCATTGCCACACCCGTGGCGCAAATCTCGCAAATCACTCCCCCGTTCCCCCATGCCGGGCCAGCCGCCTGCAATCGCACCGCGCTGCTTCCGCGAAAAGCGGCTGGACCGCGAGCGCCGCGAGCCCGCCCAGGGCCGTGCTGGAGCTCGTGCTGGAGACGGGCGCCCGACGGCCGCAGTGGCACCGAGACCGGGTCTCGGCCAAGGCAGGGCGCGACCAGCGCAGCACCTGCAGGAGAGCCTGGAGCCGCGCACCCGCTCGCCTGCGGCAGGTTCGTGTCGTGACGGCCTGCGCCCCGCTTCCTGGCACCGCGGGGATCTTCAGACCTGAAACGACCGCTGCTTTTCGATGGCGCGGGTCGCTCCGTATCGGCCGATTGTGGGCCACTGGCGGCGCTCGACCTTGACGCCTGTGCCCCGGTCGCCGCCGCGTCAACGTGGCGAAACACTGCTATAGCAATACCCGGCCCTCGGGGCGGAACCCAGGCCAGCACCCCTCCATTCAGGGCTGGAGCGCACCGCCCCCAGCGAGGCCATCTGCGCCGGCTCGCTCAACAAGGCGCCAACCACTGGACCGCGCGCCGCTCGACGACGACGAGGACGACGAGGACGACGACGACGACGACGACGAGGACGACGACGACGACGACGACGACGACGACAGCGGCAACGACGACGACAGCGGCAACGACGACGACGACGGCAGCGGCAACGACTACGGCGGCGACAGCAGCAGCGGCGACGGCGGCGGCGGCGAGGCCCGAGGCCCGAGGAGCAGGCCGGGCGCGGCGGCGGCGCGCCGTCGGACAGGAGCTTCTCCCAGAACTGGGACACGCGGTCAAGCACGTCGGCCGAGCTCTCGGCCTCGGCCGCCGCGGCGGTGGCGCGGAAGCGCGGGGCGGCGGGCCGCTGGTGGCCCCCTGCGGCATCCTCGGAGGGGCGCCGAGGTGGGAGGGGGCGGCAGCAGGGCCGGCGGGGAGAGCAGGAACGCGGAACACGTTGTTCCCCCCCCCCCCCCCCTCCGCCTCCCCCTGCTCGTTCCGTTTCCTCCACCTCCTCCTCCTCCTCCTCCTCCTCCACCTCGCGTTCCTCTTCCGACTCCTCCTCTTCCTCGTGGTCGTCGTCGTCGTCCTCCTCCTCTTCTACTTCTTTTTCTTCTTATTATTATTATTCTTCTTCTTATTATTATTCTTATTAGTTGTACTATTGTAATAGTGTTACCACTGATTGTACCAACATCATGAGTATTATTAGTAGTATGATGCATGTTATGAGTATTGTGAGTATCACTATTAGTATTATGACTATAAGTATGCTAAATATTATCATTGCGTTTGGCATTCCAATGTTCATTAATCTTAGTACTATTATTGGTCCTCCTCCTCCTCTTCCTCCTCCTCCTCCTCCTGCGAATCCGCCTCCTTCCTCCTTCCTCATTCCTCCCTCCTCCTTTCTCATTCCTCCTTTCTCCTTCTTCCTTCCTCCTCCTCCTCCTCCTCCTCCTCCTCCTCCCCATCCCCTGCTCCTCATCCTCCTCATCCTCCTCCCCGTCCTCCTCCTCCCCCTCCCCCTCCTCATCATCCCCCTCCCCCCCCTGCTCCTCCTCCTCCTCCTCCTCGTCGTCCTCCTCCTCCTGGTGTTGAATCCACGACCCCGGCACCTGTCCAACTTTAGGACAAGTTTCCACCGGGGTCAGGCGCATCGCCAGACCGCGCACCACGCGCCAGAGAGGGGGTGTGCCCATCCAGCTGATTTTTCTCAGTGCCCAGGTGAAGGCGCCAGGGCGCACCTCCCAAAAATGCAGCAGCAAAAGGGTGAGGATGTAGGAGAGAGCAGGAAAGAACCAGAGGCAGAGGAGACGTGAAAACGGCCGTGGGGCGTGAGCCACCCACCTCACTGTTAGGCGCGCGCGCGCGCGCCCTGGCCCGAGGCAAGGAGCGGGAGAAGAGAGGAGAGGGTCCTGAGAGACGAGTAGCATGCTCGATGTAGCGAAAACGACGACGGAAGAGGGAAGGCGGAAGATGGAAGAGGGAAAGAAGGAGGAGGAGGAGGAGGAGGAGCAGGAGGAGGCGGAGGAGGAGGAGAAGGAGGAGGAGGAGGAGAAGGAGGACGAGGAGAAGGAGGAAGAGAAGGAGGAAGAGAAGGAGACGGAGGAGGAGGAGGAGGAGGAGGAGGAGGAGGAAGTGGAGGAAGAGGCGGAGCGTGCCCCGAGGAGTCGAGGTCAGCTGCCTCAACTGATGCTGCTACCGCTGCTGTTGGAGCTGCCGGAAATCCAACTAAAGCAATGGGACGGCCAGGCGGCACAAAGAGAGGAGGGCATGAGCGGGGTCGGCCGAGCCTGCGTTGCAGCCTCGACAGCAGCGCGGAGGGGTCCTTTATACAGCAGCTTCCTCTGCTGAGCGCGCTGGAGAGGAGCCGTCATTAGCACAGCAACCACCTCGGGATGAGACGCAGCCTCGGCGAAGGAAAGAGAACGCTGGAGAAGAGCTGCCTCGGCGGCTGCGATGCGGCACGCACGATAACATGTCACAGTAAAGGCCAACTGGTGGCCCTGAAAGCCGAGATTCAAAACCATTGCAAGGGGGAATAGCGTGCAGCGAACGAGGAGCCCTCAGAAGTGGGGTGCACTCGCGAACATACTAGTGTGTAAGAAGATCGTTAGCCCCGTGGCAGCCGAAACTATAAACTTCTCACCTCTGAAGGCGGGTGCCTATGTTCCACCCGCCCAGCCAGGTTCTCAACGCAATGCAGATCCAGGCCTGAGGGATTGCAAGGAAGGCCGCGCGGGCGGCAGACCACCTTTGGGGAAGAACAAGTCCGAGCGGAGCCGCTGACACCTCAGACGCAAAGCCCTCGCGAAACGACTGTGCCAGCGCGTTTTGTTCGTGGCTCCGCAAGCGCATCTTCGGGGGGGGATTACTGAAGAGGGCCAACGCTTCAGCGCCAGCGCATAGTAACTGAAATCAGGATGGGAATACGGGGGCATCTTCGAACACTGCAACGATACCAAGCGAAGACTCAAACGGGGTGGCAAAGACAGATGAGGCCCACCACCCGGAAGCACCTTCAGAATGCATGCAAGTGCAGAGACGGGCAAGAACATGCTGCAAAGTGTCACGTGACGAGGGCGCTTCTCAGAGAAGACGCGGCGTTCTGAGCAACAATGCGACTGCGGGGGACTCCATTCCGCAAGCCTGAACCTGTCCGCTCTCCTGAACAAGCTGAGCTGTACACTGAACAAGTTGGACAAGAGCCTCCTCTCGAACATGGACTGGGACCGAGAGACGTGAAGAAACTACACTCTGTACGACAGAACTGACTTCATGCGCTCGTTGAAGATTTGGACAGAAACTGCATGCGGTGCTCCGTGAGAACCGACGGCGGAGGAGCGCTCGAGGGCCTTTGGAAAGGGCGCCCCCCACTCGTCGGCAGAGACAACTGAGAGGCGTAACAAAAAGCCCCGGTATGGAGTCTGACCCGCTATCTCGAAATCGGCCCAGGACCCGCCCACGCCTTCCAAGGTCGAGCGGAGATAGGCGCGAATTCCTCGGATCCCCACGAAGCCCAGAGAGGAACTGCAACGCCCTTGCTGGCCTTCAGCGAGAAAGCTACCAGTGCCTTGACCAGCCTGAGTATTCTCCCGAGATGGACAAATCCAGGCATATTACACACAAGGACGCCGATGTCGCCGGCACAAGCCCGCACAAGCCCACGTTGAGGACGAGAGAGGTGGAGCCCGTGGTCGCGGAGGAAGGCAGAAACCGCGAAAATGAACAGGGCCCCGCTCAACGGGCATCCCCGGAGAACACAAGAGCGCATCCAGAAAACAAACAAGGACTGTCCCTGACGCCCGCATAGCAAGGGCTCATATGAAAGAACATTGTTTGAACCACGGGGCAGAGGACTGCTGTCGGTGGTCAGCATCATCCATTGTTGGCGAAGAGGGAGGGGGCATGGGTGGGGCCACCAAAATGCCGAATGCTAACTTCATGCGCAACGCCATCCAAGTGTGCGATCTTGCTGATGAAATTGCGACCTGGGATGAATCCGCGCTGGGACGGGGACGCAAGCTTCTGCGCAGCTCTAGTGACAGCGCGACTCAAGGCAGCAGCAGCCGTTTTGCTACTTGCATTCTCCACGCCATGAGGGCGAACACGTGTGCCGCCTCACGCAACAGAGCATCGAGTTCTTCGACGAGCCCCGGCTCAGGCTTCGCAGTAGAGACTTGGGAAGACACAGAGAACCCGACCGAAGCATAGCGGCCAGCAAGGACCCCAGAGCATGATTTCGCGAAGGATGCTGGGCTTACGTCGGGCCTGTCCCCCCTACAGGAGGATTTTCGACGAAAACTAAAAAATACCGCCAAAATAATCCAAAAATGATAAAAAATTGTCTGGGGACTATGTTTTGAATATCTTTTTGGCCATTTGGGGGCATCTTTGGGGTATTGTTTATTTATTTTGCGTCGAAAATCCCCCTGTAGGGGGACAGCCTCGACCTAATGCTGGGCCCAACACCGCGCCTTCTTCTGCCTCCGGCACAGGGGCAGGCAGGCCGTCGGGCCCGGACGCGGAGCCCAGGGCCCGCTCGAGGCACGCGGAGACACCGCGGAGGAAGGGCGGGCGGGATCACGGAGCTCCACGGACGCCCGGGCCAACTCGGGGGCAGACCTCTCGGCATTCGGCGGAGGCCCCGGAGCTCCTCCCAGAACCAGGGCCCAGCACTCGTGGACCTCCACGGTCACCTCTTCGGGGGACGGGGCAGCGTGAACCGACTCCGACGACGACTCGACGCCAGCCGGATACTTCCTCCTTCCGAGGGGGGACCACAAACGAGCTCTACTCGCAGCCGCGCGCCGGCGTTTGGAATTCCCAGCCTGCTGCGCGGGTCTCGACTCCGCAGCAGCCTGAGCTTCCAGTCGCTTCTTGAAGGTCTGGCGCTCCTGCTCTTGGACGGGCGAAGTGGAGGCCCCGAAACCACGCGGGGTCCAAAGGCCGCGCGCTGTGCGAATCGACTGCGGAGGCCTGACGGGCCCCGGTGTTTGCGAGCCAGCAGGATGCGAGCCAGCTTCAAGTCTCGGAGCAGGCCCGCTCTCGAGGCCGAACGGACCACCACGGCGCACGAAGAGAGGGCCTGCGGCGACGAGGCGAGCCGCAGTCGGGGATGGACAGACCTCCCTTTAGTAAAACGTGGTTTAGTGAAAACGACCTGAGGCCCAAACCTGGCGGGCGCAGGACTGGAAAATAACGGCCAAGGCGCCCTCTCGAGAACCGAAAACGGACAATTCACTAATCGACGTGTCACTGTTGGGGGTTCTGTCCACCCCCGACGCAGGTCCCAAGGTGCGCGGGCCGCAACCTGCCGGCACAGAGTGGCAAGACGGAGGGCCTCTGGAGGCTCGCACGGTGCAGAGTCAGTCACGTTCTCGTACAGTCCTGAATGAGGGGAGGGGAGAGGAGGGCCAGAGACCACCTGACGAGGGAGAAGACGAGGGCGAGGATAATCCGGTTCAGGACGGCGGCGCATCATGCGAAGGGCCACGGTCGCGCGGTCAGACGCGCCCGACAGCAAGAACTCCTGGGGGCCCCTTCGGGAAGGAGGCTTGCTGGCAGCCTTCGCAGAAGATCCAATAGGGGGTGGCCGTAAACATCCGACCAACGGAAGAGTCAGACGAGGTCCCCGGGTGCCAGAGGGTCGGGCAGCCAGGGGAGACCTCAACAAGACGTCGTCAGGTGCGACGCTGCGCTGAGCCACCTGCGCGGGCCTCGCGCGCGGGGGGAAAAGCTGCATTAGAATGGCCAAGAGAAATGAAGCCGAAACGAAAAGGGCAATTCTTGACCTTCTCGACCTGGCTCAGTAATATG